CTTGATCTAGATGGTGGTGAACTGTGAAGAGAAGGAGTGAAGAACACACAGGCAATTTGGGGGTCAGCAGGTGGCTGTTCTGCCTGTGGCAGAGTAACATTTAGGAAGTCATGAGAGGGGAGGGTGACGTTGAGGCCCCGATGGTGGAGGTCTTGAATCCAGGTGGAAGAAATTGGGCTTGCTTCTCTCTGCTTTCTCCCTGCTCCTCCCTTATTCTCTCCTTTCTGGTTCCCACTCCTCCATCACGGCTGTGTACAGTACTTTACTCTTTGGGGCTCAGTTTTCCCATCTACACAGTCCAGATTTTTAGGAAGTGACCTGGCTGTAAACCACTGAAATAGTGACCTTTCTTTTAATTAAGTAGTGGAATCAAGCTAATATTTAATGGTGGCAGTTCAATTCTAAACCCTCTGAAGGGCCCTTGTTGCCCTGGCAAACCCAGTGGATAGTGAACTAGGATCTAATTTAATTTTGACTGACACATGAGTTCACCCAAAGTATTTTGGGATTTATTTCTAACAAAGAGTTCCTTTCCTTTCTTTCCCTTTCTTCTCTCCTTGTTTCTTTTGGCAAAATGCAGTTTATTACACCTAACAAAGTTACCATTAGTTCTTTATTTTTTTTTCCCTTTGGAATGTATTTTATTTATTTCATTAATTCTTGATTATCTTCTAATACCCAGTCCAAACTCAGATTTCCCCGACTCTTTCAAAAATATGTCTTTTATAGTTCATTTGAATCAGGATCCATATAAGTCCTCACATTACATTTAATTAAGAAATCTCTTCAGTTTCTTTTAATCTATAATGGTTTCCTGTATTTCCCTCTTTAAGTATACCATTGTTGAATTGTTGAAGATCCTGATTACTGTCCTGTAGAATTTTCCACATTGTGGATTTGGCTGATTGTATTCTCATGGCATGTTTCTCTCGTATGTTTTCTGTGAATTGGTGGTGAATTGATTGATAGATTCAGATCCTACCCTTCCCTTCCCTCTCCCTCCCCCTTTCCCTCTCCGTCTTTCTCTTTGCAAGAAAGCATTTGGCACATGATGTGGTACCATGTGCCACATCAGGATGAAGCTACATCAGGCCATTAATCATCATGTGCCCAGCCTCTCAGTACATTAAACCCGCTCCCCAAGGTGGTTCCCAGGTCAGACCCTGTTTAGGGTAGAATTTATTTAGAATGAGTGTGTAGTGGTAAACAGGATCATAATGTGTTCACAAAGCCAGAAAATGCTAAGGGATCACTGGTCTACTGGTCATATTTTAAGGTGAGGACAGTGACTTGTTCCGGGTCACACAGCTAAAAGTGGTGAGCACAGATCTGAACCTTGTCTCTTGCCTTCCAGCCTGGTGTCTCCCATGTGCCTCTGCTTTTCTCCTATGAAAACTTGTGAGACTCAGAGTTGCAAGAGCTAGAACCTCAGCTTAAGCTAGCTTAAAGAGAGATGGAGGAAAGGAGGGGGAATTTATTGGCTCAAACTAAAAAGTTCAAGAGTAGATTTCTTCAGGTATAGCTCTATCCAGGGATTTAGATTATGTCTTCAGAACTTAATCTTACCATCTCCCAGTTATGCTTCCCTCTGTGCTGGCTTGATTTGTAGACTGGTAGTGGTTATGTGCTGATCTGAGCTGTGCCAGGCTTCCCTCATCCTATAGCTAGCAGTCCCAGTAGAAAGAGGATTTCTTTCCCAGTAGTTTTAAGAGAAGTTTTGGAATTGGCTTTGGCCACATGACGGTCCCTGGGCTAATCACTGTGGCTCCAGGAGGTGGGGGTGGGTAGGTGGATGGGAAGCACTGATTGGTCAGGCCTGGGTTACAGACCAACCCTGGAGCACTTGGAGGGGGCCTTCCAATTGGTCCCCCAAACCACATGGACTGTGTGCAGGGATGGTTCTCCAAAGGAAAATTATGGTGCTGTTCTGGAGGAGGAGGGACCTGGAAGCTGGGCAGACAAAAAGCAATATAGCTGAATTGCATAAAACCTGCCGGCTCTTTGTGATTAACATCGAGATTTTGATTTCAGGTGCAGTCTCTGCAAGCCACTTTTGGGACTTTTGAGTCCATAGTGAGAAGCTCCCAACATAAACAAGATCTCACAGAGAAAGCCGTGAAGCAAGGGGAGAGTGAGATCAACCGCATCAGTGAAGTTCTACAAAAACTCCAGAATGAGATCCTGAAAGACCTCTCTGATGGGATCCACGTGGTAAAGGACGCCCGGGAGCGGGACTTCACATCCCTGGAGAACACAGTGGAGGAGAGGCTGACCGAGCTCACCAAGTCCATTAACGACAACATCGCCATCTTTACCGAGGTCCAGAAGAGGAGCCAGAAGGAAATAAACGACGTCAAGACCAAGGTGGCCTCTCTGGAGGACTCAAAGGGGTACAAGCAGGATTTGAGAGCCCTGAAGGAGGTTGTGGAGGAAATACAAACCTCGGTGAAGTCCAGAGAGAAGGACATTGAGGCCCTGAGAAGCACCGTGCAGACCATGGAGTCTGATGTCTACACGGAGGTCAAAGAGCTGGTGAGCCTCAAACAGGAGCAGCAGAGGTTCAAGGAGGCGGCCGATTCGGAGCATCTCACCTTGCAGGCGCTCACGGAGAAGATCCTGCAGGCGGAGGAGACGGCCTCCCGCCTTCCCGAGGAGATCCGGAGACTCGAGGAGGAACTCCGCCAGCTGAAGGCCGCAGCCCTCGGGCCGGAAGAAGACGGGGCCTTTAGAGCCTCTGAGGCCTTCGAGACGCTCCAGAAGGAGAGCCAGGGCTTGGACTCGCGGCTGCAGAGCGTGGAAGACGGCGTGCAGGCGGCACGCGCGGCCTGGGAGCGCCAGGGTGAGGGCCTGGAGGCTCTGCGCGCCCAGGGCGAGGAGCA